AGATTGACATCGCGTACAGCCTTGACTCCGAGCGCAGTGCAGCCAGTGACACTGCTGAAACGAAAAAGTGATTCTGCACAAGACATCATGGCAATAAAATTTCAAGATTTGGATCCCCAAAGCATCAAATGAACTCGATTAAATCGACATCCTTCACTCAAAGATTTCGGACAAAAAGGCATTCAGGTGATTCAGGTGTTTGTTTTTTTCCCAAATTCTTTTGGCCAAACCAGTCCATCGCGACGATTTGGGGTACCCGAATCTTGAGGCCATTGCATTTGTACAGAGCCACCTGACAGGAAGAGATGGCTTCTCCATAGTGGTGTAGATTGTTTTTTACTTTGAGCGAATTTATGTTCCTTTTGCGAGTCATTTGAAGGTAGCGGCTCGTGTCTCAGAGCCCTCCCAGCAATAGTCTGGGGTGAAAAGAGGCCCCGAATCAAGAATTTGGAGCGCGGAATCAAAGCTGTATCTGTAGACACTGGTATTTCACATCCAAATCTATTGCCGGAACTGGAGTGCGAAACGCTCACTGAGCACCACACATTAGTGCTCAAAAAGGAGCTTCTGCAAGCTGCAGGTTGGGAATCTTCTGCGCGATGTTTTCCCAAAAACGATATGATATGATATTATATAATATAATGAAATACAATATAAAAATATAATATTATATATATATATCATATAATATCATACCATATATGATAATATAATATGCATACATGACATACATAATATATATATATACATACATCTATATACTACAATATGTATATATAATTATATATATATATATTTACACATACTATAAACATATATATATTGTTTTTGTGGTGGATTCTGTTTGCTTTACCTTAGCATCTTGGCGGTCAACACGCCTCAATGGATCCCGTGGCCAGGCTGTACCTGGGTGTTCCCTCGCTCGCTTGGGCACTGAGCATCGCGTTGGTTCTCATAAGGGGGTGATGGGTAGATTTTACGGCACTTGTAACTGATTTATTGGGGATCTCTATGACCATCTATAACCATCATCAACCATCTATACACGCGTAACATACCCATAAGAATCCATGAGAGGGATACATAGTAAACAACTACTACAATGGGATGGGAGGGATGATAGGGGCCTTTTTATCCTGGCTTGGAGGCACATGGCTTGGAGGCACAAGGCTGAACAGTGTCCTCAAGGATGGCCCAACATGTTCTCACCCTTTTCGATGCCAGCCCTCCACAGCCCTCAGAGACTGCTCCACCCCCGGAGCCCTCGCCACCGGAGCCATCGCCACCAGCAGAGCCATCGCCACCAGCAGAGCCTTCGCCACCAGCAGAGCCTTCGCCACCAGCAGAGCCTTCGCCACCACCGGAGCCGGCGCCACCACCGGAGCCGGCGCCACCACCGGAGCCAGCGCCACCACCGGAGCCGGCGCCACCACCGGAACCGGCACCCAGAAAGGTGCTATGGGCCGCGGGAATCATGTCCTTGAACAGATCTTTGAACTCACCATGTGCAATGTTTCGGGTATCTGCTCTCCGCTGAGTGATTTCATTGTTTTGAAAGCGATCCACAGTTTTGACGATGAGTTTCAATGACTATTTTTGGGGGAGAAGGTTAGTAGACACCACCAATCAGCATCAATCAGCTATCAGATTTGAGAGATGAGCGGCATCCTGTGGCACTGTGAGGCACCGCCGCCACCTGGAAGTCAATGTGAAGGTGCGAAGAAGTGGATGAGTCAATGAATTCAGCTTGGAGGATGCAGACAGATTAGGAAGCTGTAAACTAGGATGGAAACCCCGAATCTGCTATGTTTTTTTGTTCCACAGGAAAGTGAAGTGTGGGCAACCAAAAAACTTCACATAAGCTGATTCTATACAGAATGAGAGAGGACATGCTGCCTTCAACTGGGTACCAGTATGGCTCAAAGTTGGGCGCCCTAAACTAGTAGTAGGATTGTCTACTTAGGTAGATGTTGAAGGCTATTGAAATTTTGATCCAGCCCCATATTTGGTTGGTTTGCTCAAGCAACTTACCATATTTTTGCTGCTTACTTAATCCATGTGCAAACCCATCTTTCCTCCGTTCAATCCCGCACATTTTTCTGGACATACTTTTACTGCTTAGCATCCCACTGAAATGGCCCACCTTTTCAACCCAAACATTGCAACTTTTTGCGAGGCTGCAAGATGCCCTTGGTGAACAGCACATCATCTTCCAGCTCCTCTGGGCTTTGTGTGCCTTGCAGGCCTGGCAGTGAGTCTGTTGACAAGCTAAGCAATGACTGGGAGGGTCTGAAATTATAGAGGAACCCCAACCCCAAATCCCATGGTTTATCATCGTATTCCTGGTTAACATGCACATGTTGCGGGTTCCACATTTTCAGACACACCCGTATACATATATATATATATTTAATGGATATACTAATTGGTCACATATTTGATGATGGGTCAACACCTTAAATACATTTATATAAATACCATATTTTGCCTGCCTGCAAGGCAAACCATTGCCCCGGCAATGCTGTGCTCAAAAAAAAATAAAAAACCATTTTTTGGGGGAGATCAACATCCATTTGCCAGCTATATTTTGGTGTCCACCAGGCGTACAGGCTCTTAACCCATGCCCATTTGATGAGGTCTTGTGGGTCCCCATGGGTCCCCAAAATCCAGTGAGATTGTCCGTTTGTTTGTGCTTGGGGACTGCTGTGTGCTGTCTCATCCTCTCATCCCCTGACAGGTTCAAGAATGCGAACCCTTGGATACCTCCAAAAAAACTCTTATGCTGGAGCACTTTGAAGGCGACTGCTGGATTCAGCGGCTTTTTGCTGCCTCAAAAGGTGATATGGAAGCCTGTAAAGTCAAGAATTGTGAGTGCCAATGAATTTCGAATGATTTTAGACCCTTTGTGTCATAGTTCCATCATGTTCCATCATGTTCCATCCAGTTTCTTGTCGCAAAATGCCATCATGAGACCTTGATTTCGACTCGGACTCGAGGCGGGTGCTCCAAACAAGATCAGCTTACCAATCATGCCCTTCGTGGAATACAGGCGGGACTCTCACTGCCAAATCTGTCACTTTCCACGCATGTGCCTACATACATCTGCATAAAAATGACGACTTCACTGCGACCCGTGGAATGATGGTGAGTAAGGGAAACTACTCTATACCAGTAGTACCGCACAAGGCGGTGGCGGAAGTTTCAAACATAGGAAACCTATAGGAGAGATTGGTTGTTGTGAATCACGGATGGCAGAGCGAATCCACTGATGGACCGAAAGGTGGTTGGAGCTGTGTTTTTTGGAATGGTTGCAATGGTTGCAGTGGCGTCGGTCACCTCACCCACAACTGCGGGATGTAGAGTGGTGTAGTGCAGTTGTAGTTGTAGTTGCAGTTGTAGCTGTAGTTGTAGTGTAGTGGAGCTGTAGCTGCAAGGTAGTGTACTCAGTGTATTTGCAAGTGCAGTTGCAGTTGTAGTCGTGGTGTGGTGTAATTAGTGTAGTGTAGTGCAGCGTAATGTCGTGTAATGTTGTATAGTGTAGTGGCCTAGTGTAAGGTAATGTAGTTGTAGTTGTAGTTGTAGTTGTAGTGTAGTGTAGTTGTAGTTGTAGTGTAGTGCAGTCTAATTAGTGTAGTGTAGTTGTAGTTGTAGTTGTAGTTGTAGTTGTAGTTGTAGTTGTAGTGTAATGCAATGTAATCAGTGTAGTGCAGTTGTAATTGTGGTTGTAGTTGTGGTAGTAATTGTTGTTGCAGTTGTTAGTGTAATTGGTGTAGTGTAGTGTAATTAGATGTAATGAGTGTAGTGTAGTGTAATTAGTGTAGTGTCAGGTAGCGTAGTATATTTGCATTTGTAGTTGTAGCAGTAGCGTAGTGGTAGTTGTAGTTGTCTGTTTATCTATCTATCTATCTATCGATCTATCTTTCTATCTGTTTGTCTGCCTGTCTGTCTGTCTGTCTGTCTGTCTTCTGTCTGTCTGTCTACCTGCAAGCTTAAAAACGCAGCAATTCTGCGAGACTTCCTCAATTTCTGAACTTGACAGCATCAAAAACGAAGCAATTCTGCGAGACTTCCTCAATTTTTGAATTTAACAGCGTCAAAAACGAAACAATTCTGCGAGACTTCTTCATTTTCAAACTTGACAACATCAAAAACGAAACAATTCTGCGAGACATCCTGCAAAAATGGAGAGTTGCATGCAGCGCTGACGGCCTCGTACCAATGCGTTTAGCGATTTTTCCAGTCCACCTGTCTAAACTACTGCGCCGGTCATACGAAGTACTGCACCTGTCACGCAAAATCATCTCAGCAAACCTGAAGATCTGAGGCTCCAAAATGCAACCCCTCTCAGGAAATCAGCGCCCGGACCTCCTAACAGCTCTGATGAACATGTCTCTTGTATTGCGCCTGCCACGGAAAATGCATCTTAGATCCTCTTCAAATGTCCCACGCCTGCCATCGTTTTTGGAAATTCTACAAAAACCCAACGTTTTGCTCACTTTTGCCAAGGTGCACAATCTCTTGCGCCTGCCACGCGAAACGGCATCTGAACGTCAAAAAGTGGTCCGAGCATGTGGTGCTTTTAACATTTTTGCTTTGAAACGTGCTTCTCACCACAATGGCGTGCACCTTTTCAACATCTCAAGTTCCAAAACTGCTCCGAACCCGTCAGTTTTTTACACTTTTGACTTCGAAATGTGCTTCGCGCCACAACGGCGTGCACTTTTTCGACACCTCAACTTCCAAAAGTGCTCCGAACCCGTCAGTTTTTGACACTTTTGACTTCGTAATGTGCTTCGCGCCGCAACGGCGTGCACTTTCTTGACATCTCAACTTCCAAAAGTGCTCCGAGGCTGACGTGTTTTGTACATTTTGACTTGGGGAAATATGCTTAGCGCCACAACGGCGTGCAATTTTTCATCTCTCATCTGGCCAGCTGGCTCCGCACGCGCCGCTTTAGCGAGCCTACTTTTCGACCCTGCCAACCACAAATCATTGGAAAAACACGGTGTTTCGCGACTTTCCTACTTTTTCGCACACCTGGATCTTCTTTCTTCGGAGACTTTCTCTTTTTGATCTTCTCTCTTCTTCTCTTCTCTTCTCTGACTCTTCCCATCTCTGCTTTTCATCTGTCCATATTGTCGGAAGTTTGACTTCTAAACTTCCTTCGATAATTATTCGAAAAGAGTTTTTTATTTCAGATGATTTTTTTTAGATTATTGATTATTGAATAGTAACAATAATATGATATTGAATTATTACAATTTACCCGTTCCTTTTGCTGATCTCTGAACAGTTGCTGACCTTCTCCAGGTCAGGGCGGCTAATGCCAGACCATATTCTCGAGGCGAATGTTGCTGATTTGGGGCCGGTTTTCGGGCACCAAACTACTGTGGATGGAAAAATTCCTGCACCAGTTGGTAACTATTGGGAACTACGAAACACTGTAAATGATGGGATTATAACGGGATAAACCATTTATCAACTGGTGCAGGATTTCTTCCATCCACAATATGGATGCTCGATTTCATGTGGTTTTGCGCAGACGTGAAATATACATGGTAAGCCTAGAATTACCAATTTAAGATGGAAAAACAAATTTGAAACCCGACATGGCCCCTGTGTGCCCAATGAATTGAGACATAGCAATGCGATCCGATGTGGTAATACCACGTTTGACTCAGACATCTCTCCAAACATCCATATTCATACATCAATTTCCTATATATTTTTAATATATACTATACAACATTGGGGACAACCCGTGGTATAGCAATGGACCCCGTTGTTGTTATGTTTGTTTTCTTTTAAAGCTCCTAAGAACACTAAATTTCGGTCGGGTTTTGTTTGGATTTACCAAACGTGATAGTTCCAAGGCTCCACTGCACAGCCTGATGTGTATGGTATGTACGACTAGTTGAACACAAAGCCGAATGCATTGAATGATATTGAATGCTAACTCAACTGATTCGTATTCCACATGGATGACTGGATGACTCTGACTGGATGACTCTGACTTCGGGGTTTCGAAACTTCCAAATGCTGCAAAGATGGGTGAACAACCACTCATGCAAACACATCAATTGAAAGAGTATCTCAGGCCTGCAACAATATGTCTTCCAGGTGGTTCTTGGTTTGATGTTTTTTGTTGTAACCAGAATGGGATGCAAAGACGATTTATAGGAAACCCTACAAAACAACTATTGGGTGGTGTAATTTTCCCTGAAACCTGGAAATTAAGGAGGAAATACCACCTATTACATACTGTAACATCCTGGAACAAACTTATTGTTGTTTTTTTTGGGGTCCCCCCCATTATGTGGTCCCAAGTATAAAGTATAAAGCATCCACAATGTCACCATGAATGGTTCTTTAAAAAAACCCTCCCCAAATGGTTGGTCTATGGCGCTGGCGGATGCGACATCTCGACAGGTTCGGTGTCTCAGGGTGGACGCTCCTGAGTGGCGATATGAGCTGGTGCATAGCTGGCGCGGCCCGATGTGTTTTTGTAAAGTTGAGATGGTTCAACTAGGGGGCAATTAAAACTGGCTGGTGGTTGGAACATGAATTTTATGACTTTCCATATATTGGGAATAATCATCCCAACTGACTTTCATATTTTTCAGAGGGGTTGAAACCACCAACCATAAAATTAAGCATTTATAGATATTTATGGCAACCCAAAAGATTCCGAAGTTTGTCAAATCCTCCGCATTTTTTTTGGGGTTTTCAACAAAGGATTACATCCGGCAGTTGGAGGGTTTAGACATCACGGGTACATGAAATTATGAGGTATATACTGTAAATCCAATGAAATGATAAACCCAATGAGATAAACTATAAGAACATATCGTCAAGGAGATAAACCCAATTGTACAAATAATGCACAGCTTGGTGCTCATGGAATTGGGTATACCCGTATGACTGGGATAATGCAAAATGACCCCCCAACGGTTAGTTACTGAAATGGTGTGTTATTGGCTTTACGGTTTTCCCAATTCTTTCGGGGTTATTCCGTTTCAAGACTGGGGGAAGAAGCGCCTAGGAAGCAGTTCCCATTGGTTGATCAATCATTTTCTTCGTGGCAAGAAACCATTGTTTGTTACTTTGTTTGCTTACCCAATTCGGCTGCTCACTATCCATAGTCTCCATAGTCTCCATAGTCATGGTTGTTATTTGTTGTTGTTGTTGTCATACAAAAGGGCGCTCACCTCAAACCATCCCCAATTTCATCAGAAATGGGTTGAACAAACCCTGTTGGGTCTATATAACTATTTGAGGGTTATTTTACATCATCCCAGTCATTTGGGGGGTAGTTATCAATTTCGTTGACTCCAACTGGGATTGTTCTCCACCCCATTGTAGGTAAATGATTCCCACAAGGGAGGCAATTGACCATTTTACCTCTTTATCTACTCAGTCTTACCACCAAACGTATTTGGGGTGTTGGGAGGAACTCTGTGAAGTTGGCTTACAAACCTCATCAACCTAGATATCTCTACCATATACCCATACCCTATAGTTGTATGAGTTCTAAACTCACTTATCAAAGGAAACAAAGCGCAGCCAGCATATCCAGCGCATAGTCAGCATAGCCAGTTTTAGCCAGCGACAGGCCGAGTGGCATCTCCATCTTCGTTGGCGACCGACGTGTCCTGGTGAAGAAGCCTGACGATGAGCACTTCGAGGCTCCAAACCCATGTTTTGTTCGAAAATCAGGGGCTGTGGGAAGCTCTCAATTTATACCAAAAAGAGTATCCACTGTTGAACAAACAAAGGATTAATTAAGTATAGTGCATAGAACTGATGACCGTGCCGTACCTCATTTTCAGTTGTGTTTTCAGAAATGATCAAGAATTCAAAATGGTCGGCAAGGATTCCCCTTTTTTAACAGGTCAAAAGATCTCCCCCAAAAAAAGTGGTATACATCACCACGGAAATATATGTGCCATGGTCATCCGTTCATGCCATGGTCATTTCCCCTATGTTTTTCCCATGGATTCCCATGGCTGGTCACCAGCACCATCTTGGATGACCAGCACGCTAAAATATGGGGGGTTTTCGAAAAGAGGGCTACCCCAATAGCTGGATGGTTTATTTCATGGAAAATCCCAATCTAAAGATGGATGATTTATAGGGGTGCCTCTATTTCAGGAAACAACCATATGTGGCTTAGATCCATATGATTCCATATATATTCCATATATATATATATTCCATATTAATGCCCTAGATTTCCCATGAAATTGGTATGTCATTCCGTTGGAAATTCGGAAATGCCAACTATGGCTGGAGATCTCCCCAATCCCATTCCCCAATGGCATCAGCTCCACGGCAACATCCGCTATTTGAGCTCCCATGGACCGATATTGAAAGATATGAAAACCAGTTTGAAATCTCCAGTTTTCATGGATTTTCATGGTCATTTTTTCCAGCTAGCCACATTTTTTTTTGGGGGTAATAGCTGGCATGGGATCGAGCAAAGCCAGGCGCCAGGACCTCTAAATCTCACCCCCTGGGTGGTGCGGAAGCCATTGGAGGTGCGCCTTGAAAGATTTTTCAATCGGGGATAGGATGGGTGATGCATATAGATCTGCTTGATTCTGCTTGGATGTTTAGATGTTTCAGTTTTTTTCACAGTATGCTTGGGGTATTTTGCAAGATTGAGATCAATTGTGGATGTTCTAGGCCATATTTTGGAGGGTTCTCTCCACCGACCCAATGATTTTTGGGATGTGATGAAAACATCTGGGCAGTGGAACAGTCCACGAATGCTGTTGTCCGTTTTTCAGAACATCAAAGAATTGGGATGATTGTGCCTAGAATTTGGTGCTCCTCGTTGATAAATTGGTGTGCACTCCCCATGAATGACATATCTAATCCAACACTTACTGGAATTCAACAACAAATTTGCTAACTTAAATCAGATATCATTCCCCATTTTTGATAGTAAACTTCACCATTTTTTTGGTTTGGTTAAATCCACGGTAGTATGTCGCTGGGGCACCAAGCGAGCCAGGTAAATCAGCCGATGCAGGTGCAGCTGTTTGGGGTTAATGGTTTATAGTGACCCCCTAAAAAGATGCAACGTAACAACCCAGTGAGTGACAACTTACTTTTCTATACTTTTCTCATCAGTTCTATCTTTTTCGGGCTTAGTATAATGGGAGGTAAAAAGCAGGGGATGAAACCACATAATGGGACCGTAAACTGCTTGATATGAACGGGGGATGGGATTATTCCGAAGAAACATTTTTTAGAGGATAGCACCTGCAGCTTTTCCACCAACAGCCACGAGAATGAGACAGGTGAAAGTTGCCTTATCATCGACAAAGAGTGAGATTTGGGCGATTGGCAATAAGCTCAGTGGGGCTCGGCTCAGTTGAGGATCAGGTGCGGACTACTGTAAACCTCCAATTTCGAAGGCAATTAGTCAGCAGGAGGTGGGTCAAAAAGAGGCTCTCAGCAAAACGGATGCTTTCATGCTACATGAATGACCAGCCATTGGTCTGTTGGTATACTTGATCCATAGCGATTTCACACCTTAAATGGATACTGTCATATACCTGGTCCAAATAATTATACCTGGTCTTTCGATGTTTTTTTCGTATTTCTGGTGTTTTTCCCCCACAGTTTTGATGAGTTTTGGTGCTTCTCCCCTTGAGGCAATCCCTGTCTCAGGCTTCGTGATCAGCGTGCCCATCCTGCGTGACGAGGAGGTGGTTGAGCGGGTCATTCAGCTGCAACCGCCCTTGAAGGATCTGGGGCCCGTCTGGAAAACTGCGACCGAAGGATCACCTCGGATATTCATGGAATTTCATGGATATCCTATAAGATCCTATAAGAAAAACCATGAAATTGCAGATGTTCGGGGAAAAATGCGATTCTAAAAACCATCAAATTCGGGTTTCCCCGAAAATTTCAGACCAAACTGGTGAAGGAGATGCAGATGGGTGATTTTTGTGGAGCTACTGAATGACCATCAAATACCATGCCCCCAACGAACAGCGCGACCCTGACAATCACTACTTATTACTACAGGACTGTGGTTTTTTTACCCCCTATTTGGCAAGATCATGCAAGATCTATGTTAGTTTGGGATTGTATAGGGTATTCCGCAGTCGTATCCACAAGTTGGGAAAAATGAGAGCCGCCCAACAGGATTTATGTGGATCAACTGACTTTTGGGGTACCCCCTGACCCTGGCTGCCTAACTGTTACCCATGTGTATGGGTCAACTGAGGCTTGGCGTTTACATCACTTTCAATGAAGTGGTTTTATGATGTTTTATGCTTCAAACAAATCCTTATATATTGTTTACTTATCTCGACATAAATTGACATCAAATCAACATTTTGCTGCCTGGTAGCCATCCATTTTCTCCTTCAAACATCCTAAACAATTGTTTTGTACAAGGTAGTGTATTGTTGGCGGTATATATTATATTATATTATTATATAGGAGATATTCCAGTAAATTCAATATTTTCACATTTATCTACAATGATAAATCCTCATTTTTTATGGTTGAATCCCACATATCCTCCATATCCATATCGCATATATCGATGTTTCCTTCACCAGGACCGAATGAAGCTTGACCTTGAGCGAGTGCATCTGTAAGCACCCCAGAGTTGTGATTTCTGGAGCCAGGTTGGATCGACAATTGCTGGGTGAATAGTATATGGAAACCTGAAAAAACATGGATTTCCCATTGATATATATATATATATATAGAGTGTGTGTTTTTTCGTGTTCGTCATTCTGCATCATCAGTTTTTATGTGTTTTTGTCCCACTTATTTTTTGAAGGGAGACCTTCGATGGATTTGAGAACATTGCGGAAACCTTTCAAAAAGGTTTCTAGAGTTTGGACCCGTTCTGAATTGTCCCGACTTTCTCACATAGTTTATATATCCTCATGATCGCTACTTGGTAAATATTGAGGATCCCAAAGAAGCCCATGAAAGGCGTGTTTCAGCTGCACCATCATGTGGGTTCGACGCTCCCACTTGAGCAATGCCCAAATGTCCCGGTAATGCTGTGATTGGCTTATGGAAAATGGAGGTTTCCGACCGAAGTCATGGTACCCCAAACTATCCAAGTCATGGATGATCGTATTGAAACCCATGATCTCGGGAATCCCCGGCTTTTGCCATGTCTCAGTCCTCAGGTGGGTCATGGAACATCGGCCGGACCGTGTGTCAAAGAAGGAGTCCAAGGGACCTGGTGTTTACGCTGGACCTGGCTGGAGATGTTCCAAATCTCCACTGCTTGGTGGGTTCATGGGGAAATATGTTTGCTGTTGACATCGGTTTGAGGATTGAAACATTCAGGACGAACAGCCGGAAGGGCTGAGGCAAATGGTTCAATGATCTAAGCAATTTCTGATGAGGGCGACTCACTGCAGGTCGCCACAGCTTCTGGTTCTTCGGGGCGACCTAAAAAGCATAAACATATCCATGTTTTCAACCCATGGAGAATCTGATGAGATACCCTCTGGTAAACGTTTACATAACTATGGAAAATCACCACCATGTTTAATGGGAAAATCCACTATTTCTATGGCCATTTTCAATAGCTATTTTGACATAACCAGAGGGTAGAGACCCAATCGTACAGGGTTTATTGTTGGGAGCTAAGGCTACCACGGTTGGTTTTTGTCGCATCAACTCCGGGTCCAACAGAGACAGGTTTCCCACAAGAATCAAAGGTTGGATTATGGGAAAACAAAACAAATGGGTATGGTATGGTATTACATGGGGTATGGTATGGTCAATTTTATGTAATAAGATCCCATGATCAATGGGAATAAAAAAGGATCCTAAAATGGAGGTACTGTACGTTAGTACCATATTTCTAGCCATATTTTGTGATATTCCCTGAAATTTCGGCCTCAAAAATAGGCCTTATATATATATGGATATATATGGTAGGTACCTCCAATGTAGGTTCCTGAATGGCCATTGAAATATGGAGATTATGTTTCCCATATCCTCCATGTATGGTATATTTACCAACATTTACACCATAAATGTCCCAAATGTAGGTAGATATACCATACATGGAGGATATAATGTTTAGTATTTTTTTACTGTTCCAATTCGGAAACACGAATCCACAGGCGGGCTTAAGCAAATCCAAGTAAAAAGACATCATGTCAAGGCCGTAATTCATCCAGAATGGGGTGAGGACACGCTTCGATGTGTCGAGCCGCCGGTTCTAAAGCTCACAGATTGCAGTCGGGGTGCCCGTTGTGACCCAGTGGCTTTTCAACCATAGTTAGGATGCTTGGTCGAGATGACTCATGTTATTGGGATGGGTTAAAACCACCAACCAAAAATCAGAAATCTATCATTTTCCATCTAATTGTCCATATAAATGGGCTCTTGCCATCTATACCAAACCTATGATACGGTGGGTGGTTGCTAAATCCTGCACCACCTTGGATGATTGAAATCATACTGGGATGAGCATCCAACCCGCGGAAGCTGGAAGAGCGATAAGTAAAATTTGGGAAAATCTAATTTGATCTCATCCATAACTGGTTGGTGGTTTAGAACATCCCAACTGACTAATGTCTTTCAGAGGGGTTGAACCCACCAACCAGATAAGTATCTAACTTCTTTTTTCTAATCTTCATTGGAAAAATGAACTTGTGCTGCCCCCCAATTATAAGCTTCCAAGTTGATTTGAACATTCCTCCGCAGTATATCCCCCTCCAGCACCCTAAATGAAAGGAATCCCTTCATTCATTTTTAAGTGGCAAGGGGTGTGCTAGGGATCTGTTGGATTTTGCTTCGAAAGTGGGTTTATAAACTCAGTTAGCTATATATTCACACATCTTAACCGTAAGCCTGCTAGTTATATTGGTCATAACATGTTATAAACCAACTTACCTGCCAAACTGGGGCACCACCATGTAGTGCACTTAAACTTACTCTCTGGTAAATTAACATAGACCCTGCCAGATAGGATTTGGAAGATTAGTTTCCATAAAAAAATTGGTTATTTTCAGGGTCCAACTGTTTATTTACCAGAGGGTAAGATTAATCATAATTCATCCATGTTTCTGGATGTTTCCCTTCAGATTCCAACCTTCAGCCATCGCGGGCCATCGCTACCCGCCCTGCAGCTAGCCTCCTGCGCATTGAACAAGCAGCACGGGGCTCGGGGTATAGGGCTCAGATCTACCGTCTGCGTGTCATTTTCGCTAAATCATCACAAATAGATATAAAATAATTGGTGAATATCTATCAACACCAACATTAATTCCATTAACAAATAGAACATAAATCATCCCATTCCCCATTAAACACCCCAGAAAGCATGCTTCCAGGGGATTGCGAGGGATGAGCGCCTAGGCGCCTACATACCGGTTACCAGTGACCGCATTTAGTCCGAAAAAAAAAGAGCCACTTTAGATATTCAAATCAACTGGTAACCTGAGGTATGTAGAATCAACTGTTTCAAATCAACTGTTTCATATGAAACCATTGTAGACATCCAATTCAACATAATTCAACCACTTTTGATGATGAATGCAGATCCACCACAGGCTGATAAGGGATATCGGAAGGCCAAAGCCTCGAATACGAGGTGTGAGCACTTGCAGTGCTTCGACCTCACTTCCTACATCCACACGATGCGAAACATCCCTCCGAAGCATGCTTGGCGCAGTGCTCGGTGAAAACACACAGCCAAGCACAGCTAATGTTTGGATTCTGATGGTTGCTTGAGTTGGTTGCTTACCATTGGTGTTTTTATGTTTTGACTTTTTATGAGGTGACATCATGTGACATGGGAATATGTGAATACTCTACCCATCTCTATACCTTGCAATTGGTAACTTGCACAGAAACTGGACACCATGACTGATATCTAAAGATCGGAAACCAATCACCAAACCATTCCGTTGTTTTCCGCAGGTGCTGTCCCATTTGCGACAAGCCAGTCCCAAGCTTGGGACAGTGATTGTTTTGTGCAACTTGAAATCAATGTATAAGGCCTTCAAAGGAATAGAGCTTGGTGTATCTTGGCAATGTTGGCAGTCAAAATAGTCAGACATGTTCTTTCCTTCAATCCCGCGGGTTCTAAGTCATGCCAACCTGTGCAGCTGCGCCGAGGCTCCGCTCCACCAGCTGCGACTCGATGCATTTGCTCAGCGTGGGGCCCAGCGAAAATGACGAAAGATGTGGGTTGCCGGGTGGGAAACCCACAGAAAAGGACGAAAATATGGGGAAAAGATGGAAAAAGCATGGAAAAACACATTTGCTGATTTAGAGCAATGTCATTTCTCCGATTGTGCTGTGGGGTTTCAGCCAAGAATTGTTGGGTTTATGAATGGGGTTTATTAACCTACCCTTCCAAACATTGAAGTTTATTGTTTATCGATGCCTGCTGGTGTTTGTATACAGCCCGTCTGATGAAAGAGTTACTGTATTGATTATGTCAAATTTGATGCTGAACATGACCAGCGTGTGGGTGTGCTAGGCTCTTGAAGTTTATCTCCCAAGCACATGTTTTGAAACACAGGAATGTTAGTAAAGCAATACAAAACCATCCACAGTTTATCACAGTTTGTCACAGTTTATACCAGCATTTTTGGGAAATTGGGGATGGTGGATCTTCAATTTTCTATGTTCACATGATCTACAAATGGTCTGAAGCACTCATCAAACAGCCCGCCTCAGCCCTCTCCCTGAGGACTCACCCAACTCCATAGGGTCATCAACCATGACTTGGGGTTAACTCCAACATCATCCCAGTCATACTGCTCCCGATTTCAGAAGCTCTGGGATGGTTTATGGCTATTTATGATATTTATGGATTTATGGATAGTTATGGCATTGTCTTTATCACAGCAATGCTTTTCAGATTTTTCCGCCGCCCAGCGCAGATGGTTGTCCATCTCAGGTCTGTCATTGACAGCACAGCAGCAAATGTGACTGAAGTCCTTGTGGCTGACAACGGAAAGTTTGAGGCAATGGGAAAACGGGAAAACTAACAAATCAGTCAAAACTCAAATTGGGTACAACAACCTACAGATAGAAGGGATGAAACGCAAACCCCAGACTCCAGACCATCTGTGATCATTTGGGGGAACAGAAGTCGTCTTTATTCAAATTTGGCCGGCAAATCACTGAATTTTGCTGATTAAATATCATTTGGGATGGAAGAAGAGTGTTAACAATACTAGACATGAGATCCTGAGGGGTTTTGGTCTATTCCAGATTGCGATGATCACTACATAATTGGATGCCTTTCTGAAGTTGGTTGATGAAAATTGATTGATAGATAATGTTGGCTATTGATTAGAGTACCATCCAAGCAATTATATTGTTGAGTGTCTGGGCCACTCATGGGGTAGCCGCTTGAAAAAATGTTTGGATGCTGTTTTCAAATACGGGCTTAATAAGGCATGTGAAACTGCATGTGAAACAGCAGTGACATAGCATTCCACCTTTGCAGCATTCAGTCTTGTAGACATTCCATGCGCATCCCAGAGCGCTCTTTTGCCCAAAGAAAAAGGTGCCTCACTTCCCGCACGCCGCTGCCGGGATTTTGATGGTAAGCGGAGCCCTGTTCACTCAGGGCCTCTGCTAGCTGGTGCCTAAGGTTCCAGCCCCTTGCGCTCGTTGTGCAACCTGCTGGCAGCCCTGCGGCACCAGCCTCCTACTACTGGTTGGAACTTCACCATTGAAGGTGTCTACAACCTCCCATGACTTCCTCTACTGCCTCCAAGATCATTTGCGATCGATACGGAGTTCCTCAGTATGCTGGCGAAGTGGAAGCTTTTGAAGAATATGTAGAGCGTGCCTGGGACTTGTACTTTGGAAGAGAAGGTCAAGAATCCCAGGTGTCCACTCCGATCCACCTTCGCTCAGGCCTAACAGGCCACGCATACGAAGCTGTCAGAAAGCTGGAGCACTCAAAGCTCCGAACTGCGACTGCTGAAGGAAAAGCCACTGAAGGGGGAATGAAGTTGTTGATTCAGACTCTCAAAGAGAGCATAGCAGCTGAGACGCCAGTGAAGATTAACGAGCTCTTCTTCACTGCCTTCTACAGCGCTGATGTCTGGAGAAAACCGCAAGAAAGCATGCAGCAGTATATCATCAGAAGGGAACAGGACTTTGCTCGTCTCAAGGAGTCCTCCCAAGAGACCACCGTCAGTGACAACCTGAGGTGCATGATGCTGCTGACTTTCAGCGGGTTGGATCAACGTGAACAGCTAGGAGTTTTGGCTTCTGTTGGAAACGAGTACGACTTCAAGAAGGTTTCCCATGCGCTGAGGATCCAGTTTCCTCAGATCAGTGGCAAGCCAGTGTTTCGACGTGACTATCTAGGATGTGCACGTGGAGGTGGTCAACATGGCACTATGAAATCGGCCAAGTGGAAGGTCGGTCAGGGCAGGTTCAAGCAACATGCCTTCCTGGCTGATGATCAGGCCGAAGATGATGAGCCTGAATATGATGGCGATGGATATTACGAAGATGATGACGCTGAGGCCGAGGACGATGAAGCAGATGACAGTTACCTCACCTACAGCGACGATGATGGCCTTGATGCTTTGATTCAAGAATGTGGTGGATCGCTGGATGATCCGCAGGTTGCGGAAGCCTTTGCAACTGTGGCTCAGTTCAGAGCCAAGAAGAAGGGTTCTGGAAAGAGAAAGCCACAGTCCAGTGGCAGCAGCCATAGCTACCCGTTCAAAGCTCATGGCGACATCCAGTTCGACACCAAGGCCAAGGAGAACCGGAAGAACGCCATCAAGTTTCTGAAGAGCATGTCAACCTGCACCTCTTGCAACCAACGAGGTCACTGGGTTGGAGATCAAGAATGCCCCAATTTCAAGCCGAAGGGGAAGGGAAAGGGTCAGAAACCGAAGAAGTCAGGATCTCCGAAGAAAGCCTCTCATGCCATGTTTGTTTTGCACGATAGTTTGGAATCTGCAGATGAGAACGAAGTTCGTTTTGCATCCTTTGGAAAGCTGCGACCTGTGCACTCCAACTCTGAGCCCAATGCAGCCCTTGTGAATGACGCAGCCCCTGGGTATGACATCCCTCCAAAGAATGCCAAAGTTTTCAAGCCCTCCGCAGTTCCAAAGAATGACATGGTTTTTGAGAATGCCAAAGCCCCTGACGCCACTGCAGTTCATGTGAATGCCCTGGTCCCTGAGGCCTTTGCAGCCAATGTGAATGCCAAGGTCCCTGACTCCAACGAGTACAAGGTTGATGGATCTCAGAACCAATGCACTGCGACAGAGAAGAAAGACCCTGCTGTGCCTGATGGACCAAGACTTGCCGATGACAGCAAAAGTTTCACCGATACAAGTTTTCATGCGGAATGTTTCATGGTCTTGAAAGAGACCCAGCACTGCGAGCATCTGAGCTACTGCGGCGGAGATGAGAAGCAAATCCACCGTGGCGCGAATGGCCACACTCGTCATTTGACCTGCAAGCAATGTGACAAGACTGTGATTTGTGGCCGTCGCCGCGAAGCTATCCAAATGTGGTCATACCTCGTGCAGGTGGCTTTGTGCACGAAGTTTGGCAGCAAGCTCAGATCGACTTTGATTTACCGGATCTGCTCCAGCGGACTCACAAAGATGCTGGAGGACAAAGACAAGCAAAAGGCTCTTGGCCATGTTGCGTCCCCTGGCAGCCCTGGATGGAGTGTGATTCCATCTGAAGCTGACTCCAGTCAGTTAGGCCAACGTGGCTATTCAGATGTGCCACGACTTCCAGCTCGGAAGACAGCAACCATTGTGAGGTCGCCTGAGACCCAATGCTGGCTCTTTGGTGTGCTGCTCGCTCCAGGCGTCGACTTGCCGCCGTTTCCGGAGCTGAAGCCTGAGGATTTGGATGTTTTGCAGCCCTTGCCAGGTGACGACACTGTGATGCCTGAAGGACCATTTCGTGGCTACAAGTTTGTGGACATAGCCACCAACTTTGAGTCCGAGCCCTACTGCAAGCAAGTGATGCACATCGCACTCAACCTTGAGCCAATGTCACCACCTGTTTTTAGGCTTGCTTCGTACTTGTATGTTCGGTTGCAAATTGCCTGGCAAGCTGTTGTCAAGCTCAGTGGAACTGGTCAGGTTCTACCTGCTGGCAAACGTCCTTTCAGCCCTGAGGACATGTTGACAAGCCGGACCATCAAGGTTCCCCTGCAGCTGGATTACTATGATCCGAGCTCTCTCAAGGTTCATGAGTGCGAAGTGATGATGGTTGATGAAGACCTCAACTATGAGGCCTATGCCGTGCAGCCTGCAGACCCACCTGGTCTTGCCATACTGGACTCTGGGTGCAACCGCACCATGCACGGCGAAGAATGGGCCAAAGCCTATGAAGAGAAGCTCGCTGAACTTGGACTTCAACCTTCAATCCGAAACAAGACCCAGCTGTTCAAGGGGATTGGAGGACATGCTGAGTCCAAGGTCGTCAAGGCCTACCCTGTTGGACTTGGTGGAGTCAATGGCGAGCTCCACTCAGCAGAAACACCAGGAAAAACACCAATGCTGATTTCACGTCCTTTCATGCAAACCCTCGGCACAATCATCAACCTTGGCGAGGGGACAGTTTCTTTTTCCAAGCTCAACATCAGAGATCTTCCTCTGAAGAGAACCAGCCGTGGCCATTTAGCCATCTCTCTTTTGGACTTTGATCAGAACACCATGTCAGTTTTTGACGAGTTGGTCAAGGGATATGATGAGTTTGATGTCAATGCGGCAGAAACTGAGGCCTTGGACTTGGCTCCTGGATTTGAGCCGGCCTCTGAGGCTATTGGATTTCCTGCTCTTGGACTTGAGCAAGCCTCCGAGACCTTGGATTTGGCTCCTGGACTTGAGCCGGTCTCGCCGCCAAGTGATGCCCTCAGCTACGACGATGGGCTTGATCCTGACACCAGGCGCGAGTCACAGGATACCTGGGATGTCGTCTTTGGCATCGATGAAGCTGAGTTAGAAAGGGTCATGAATCAGCATCATGAAGGTTTTCACTGCGAGAGCACAGATGTTTTCCTGGAAGAGGTTGAAAAGGGTTTCTTTTCAGTTCGAAAGCCCAGCAGCCGAAAAGCCAAAAAGATTGCTGCGATGGACACCGCACTTTGCGGGATGGATGCTTTGGTTTCCAATCAGCTCAGGATGCAGCAAGCCTCAAAGGCTGCCAGAAAGCCTCCAACCGGAAAAACATGGCTCAAACAAGTTTTTGCTGGACAGATGGGTTTGACCATTTTGGCAGTTTTCCATGGTATGGTTTTTGGTATCCCTCGCGACATCTCCTTGGACGGCTGGGACGCTTTGACTCCTGCTGGAAGGCGTCAGCTTCACCAAGACTTCCAACAGGAAGATCCCTTTTGCACTGTGCTGACGCAACCGTGCGGTCCATGGGGGAATTGGTCGAGGTTCAACATCTCCAAGGGTGGCAGCGCTTCTGTCACCGTCCTTCAACTGCGAGAAGATGGTCGTCCCTTGCTGAAAGTTGTTAACAAGACCATCAAGGATAGACTCCGTGCCAACAGGCACATCTTCATGGAACAACCTCTTGGGTCACAAGTCCTTGATGAACCTGAAATGGCAGATGTTAGAAAGTTGGTTGAGGACGGCACTTTGCTGTTCATCGTGGTTGACGGCTGCATGGTTGGCTACAAAGATTCCGTCACCGGACTGCCCAACAAGAAGCCTTCCTTTTACATCACATCAATGTTGTGTGCTGAGAGCGTTTTTGCAACATGCCGATGTGATCATAGCCATGAACATCAACCACTTGAGGGCAACAATGAGTTTGGCCCCAGAACCACTCAAGCTGCAGCATGGCCTTCCGAGCTCAATCAGATGGTTTTGGATTGCATCATACAACAAGCCGCCATTGAGGAGCACCTCGCTGATGAGATCTATGCTGGTGATGCTCAGCGCCGTCCTGCGAGCGGTCTCTCTGGGAGATCTCCCAAGCGCCGCAGACAGGGTCGAATGGCAACGATCTCAAGCCCAGCTCCGCCAGTTTATGTGCGACCACAAGGAGCTGAAGCACCTCAACCAGTTGGCGAACTTGGTGATCTACCTCCAGATGATGACTCATCTTTTCGAGCTCAACAAGCTGCAGCACTGGACCCAATCCTCAACCAGACAGAAGCTGATCGCCGACATCAATGGCTTCAAGTGGATCCTGAGATTCGCAAGTTGCTCAGGACCTTGCATGTCAATTTTGGACATCCAACCTCAACAACAATGCAGAGAATCCTGCGACGTCAGGGGGCAAAGCCGGAAGTCGTCCGAGCCGCTGGACTTATGGCCTGTGACGCTTGTGGTGAATCGATCCGGCAGAAACGTCCCAAGCCTGTGAGAATGCCATCGGCCTATGTGTTCAACCAGCACATCCTTGCCGACACCTTCTATGCCAAGAACAGCCAAGGCAAAAGTTTAGCCTTCCTCAACATCCTTTGCGATGCAACTGGGTTTCAAGTGGTTTCTTGCCTTGGAGAACTGACTGGGACGCCATCATCTGGCATTGTGCTCCGTCACTTTTTGACTTCATGGTCATCTTGGGCTGGACTTCCCCATTCTCTCCAAGTTGACCGTGGCAAGGAGTACATGGCTCAGTTCTCAGACTACCTGAAGCAGTATGGTGTCGAGCAGCAAGTGATTCCTCTTGAATCACCTTGGCAGAATGGAAAGTGCGAACGTGCTGGTGGCCTTTGGAAAGAAGTCTGGGCCAAGACAGTTGTTGATGTTGATGTTTCAACACTTGCAGATGCAATCACTGCCGCGTCAATTGTGACGCAAACCAGAAATGCCTTTCCACGCACCAATGGGTACTCGCCCAACCAGTGGGTACTTGGCCATCCTGAGACCCGCCTTCCAGGCAGCCTTCTCAGTTCAGATGAGAGCCAACAACTTGAAGTTCTCGAAGCAGCTGAAAACCCCCACAGTGAAATGGCAAAGACTTTGGCCGTTCGTGAAGCTGCTCGAGTGGCTCAAATTCGTTTGGATTCAGATAGCCGTGTGAGGCGAGCACTGTTGAGAAAGAGTACACCAACACGTGGACCTTTTCCTATTGGATCCTACGTGTACTTTTACAGGCGCCAGCCTCAGCAACGGCAACAAGATGGCCGACCTTACAACTGGTATGGACCTGCGAGAGTCATTGGACTCGAACTTCGCAACCCACGCCGCACTGAAGACGGCGATCCAGCCACTGATGGCTCAGCCCCAAGCAGCTATTGGCTCCGCTATGGTCCCAGCGTGATTTTGGCCTCTGGTGAACAATTGAGGTTTGCAAGTGAAGATGAGCTTTTGGCAGCTCACTATGTGCCCCACTATGCCGTGGAGCAGGGAAGCGACCGTGGAGCCCGCAACTATGTTGACATCCGCAACCAGCTTCAGCAACCAATGCTTCAGCTGCAGGGGGGTGGTGTCAACGCCGATTTTTGGCGAACTTTTCCAGATGGACGAGTTGTTCGGGTCCACAACGTTCCCAGAAAAGCACTTTATGTTCCTGATGCTTGCCCAGTACCACTTGACCAACTCCAAGATGAACGAGTGACTGAGGCCATTTATGAGGCTGAGATGCGTGATCACGTCCTCACGGACACCATCACCGACAACTGGCGTCAAGACCTTGGACGCGAACTTGTGGCCAAATGGGTTGGCGAAACAATTTTCAGGACAACACCGACTACGACCTTGGCAAGTTCCTCAGCCCGGCCTGCATCAGGACAATTTGTGTCCCAACCTGCAATGCCTGCGATTCCTGAAGAACGACCAACAGTCTTTGATGACCCGCCTCCAGATGCAGAGCAAGAGATAAGGACGGGCGATGTGCCTTTGCAACAACAGCAGCAGCAGCAAAGCCATGCTGGCCATATGAGACAGGTGACCGAGCAAGAACCTGATCCTGGTCCGCAGACCCCGAGGGATCAACAACTTCCTCAACAACCTGCTCCTGTTGCTCCCTTCATTGCTCAGCTTCACCAAGCGATGCGGAATCCACAACGACTTGATGGGCATCCTGGCGGAAGCTATGGACTACCTCGAACAGCACCAGAACCAAGCTATGGTCCTCAAGGTGGAGGTGCCAGAGTTTTCACTGGGCCTTATCTTGGAGAAGCTGTCCAAGAGAATGATTGGCCTGCTGGATGCGAAGATCTATCTGACCGACTTGCTCATCGACGTCTAGCTGATGCGTCAGAGCACACTGACGATTCCATGTCTGATGACTCCACATGCTACGAGGAGAATCCCAAGCTTGAAGCGTTCCTGACTGGCAAGGCAGTTCGGTCCGAGATCGACCTCAACGACCTTTCAGTAGAAGACCGTGCCAAGTTTGACCAGTCCATGGAGAAGGAGTGGAACTCTTTCAAGAAGTTTAGCGCTGTGGAGATCCTCTCAGAAAGCCAGATCGCAGCTCTTCCTCAAGACGCTGAGATTGTGAACACGCGATGGGTTCACACTGACAAGAACCAGAAGCCGCGCTTGATGGCTGGTGCAATGCGGCGACGCACTGGGAAGTCTGAAGCTCAGATCAAGAAGGAGTACCCCTTCGAAGCCAAATCCAGAATGGTTGTCATTGGCTGCCAGGAGAAGGACACTGGCATCAGATCTGACTCTCCCACTGCATCACTCCTGGCCTTCAACTTTGTGACTTGTTTGTCAGTTATTTTTCAGTGGATTTTGGAAGCGTATGATGCGAGCACAGCATATCTCCAATCTCAAGGAATAGCACGTCTCCTGCTTCTCCGTCCTCCTCGACCACCACCTCCTGGAGTTTCCCCACATGACTTGCTGCGTGCGAAAGGCAGCATTTACGGCACGCGAGATGCTGGCCGTAGCTGGTGGAAGACACTTTTCAAAGCTCTCCAGCGACTTGGCTGGGTGATGTCAAAATTGGAAGCTGCACTGTTTTACCTTTTTGACTCTGAAGTTTTGGTTGGTGCGCTCGTAGCCCACGTGGATGACCTCTATTCCACTGGCACCGGAAAGAAGTATGAGGAGTCCTTGAAAGTTTTGGGGAAAGAAATTTATTTGAAGAGGAAAGTTGGTGATTTTCGTTTTTGTGGAAAGAATGTGAAACAAAACCAAGATGGATCTGTTTCTTTGGACCAGATCGACGCAATTGAGAGTTTGGAATATATGGTTTTGCAGAAGAACAGGCGCGTCATGCCGAATGCGCCGTTGAATGAGGATGAGAAGTCAGCCTTCAGAGGGCTGATTGGTTCACTTGGATGGATTGCCCGTCAGACCAGACCTGACGTGCTTGTGAACGTTTCCCTGGCATCCCAAACAATGGGAAATCCGACGATCAAGGATGTCGTGGAGCTTAACAAGATTGTCAAGGTTCTAAAGGAGAGCTATGACTTCAAGTGGAACTTTGTCCCAAGCTCCAACCTCACTCTGGAGAATGCCGTGGTGTTTTGCATGGCTGACAGCAGTTTCGCAAACACGACCAAGCTGCGAAGCCAGTGTGGCTATGTGGTTGGTCTAACCACTGCTGACTTCACCTCCGGCGATGACACGCCGGTGATGATACTGGAAGCTTACAGCGGAAGCATCAAGCGTGTTTGTCGCAGCACTTTGGCTGCAGAAACAAACGGCTTCCTCACCGCGACCGAGGCCGCCGACTATGTGAGGATGCTCTTGCCGGAAGTGAAGCATCCAGGTGTCTCCATGGTTGACTTGGATAGGTTTTACCTGAAGGGCCTGCTCACCGCGTTGACTGACGCGAAGTCCTTGGAAGCCACTCTGAACAAGGATGCTGGCCAGCCTGCTGATAAGCGAGTGAAAATACTTGTCAGCCAAGTGAAAGAGTTTCTTGGCGGCGACAGCTATGAAGATGATGGTTCAGTACGCTGCCATTGGTGTGACACATCGCAGATGCTAGCCGACGTTTTGACGAAAGCTGGATGTGAAAGAGAACCTCTTTTGGATGCGATGACCACTGGAAAATGGCGCCTGAAACCAAGCGCCGAAGCCGAAGAAACCAAACAGAAGATCCGAGATGGAAGGAGACGCAGAAAAGCTGAGAAGCAATACTCTGCTGCAGGTGAGGACGGGTGTGAAACTGCATGTGAAACAGCAGTGACATAGCATTCCACCTTTGCAGCAGTCAGTCTTGTAGACATTCCATGCGCATCCCAGAGCGCTCTTTTGCCCAAAGAAAAAGGTGCCTCACTTCCCGCACGCCGCTGCCGGGATTTTGAAGGCATCTAATTATTTGGAAAACCTTGCATTTTCAAGGCTTTAACATAGATCATAGATATGGCTTTCTAAAGTAAATGGACCAGCTTAACCCAAAGAAAGGTGGATAAAAGGTTTTGTGCCTTTTTTCACCCCAAAAGTTTTTGTGCACAATAGAATACCATCAAAACAATTACATTATTGAGGATCCCGGTCACTCACAGGGTACCCCCTTGAAAAATTGTTTGGGTGCTGTTTTTAAATAAGGGTTTAATAAGGCATCTAATTATTTGGGAAACCTTGCATTTTTCAAGGCTTTAACATGAATATGGCTTTCTAAAGTAAATGGACCAGCTTTACCCAAAGAAAGGTGTATAAAGGTGGATAAAGCTCCTCCTGAAAAATTGGATCTGAGAAAAAACATTTTCCACAATAGAGGCCCACCCCCACCATCCACAGGATACTGAATTATTTTGGAAAAAAACACAATAGTGCTCCATCACACTAATCGATAGCCAACATTACTGTTGTTGGTACCATCAAGAATCGAATGAGCCACAAACGGAAAGTTGAGATGCAAAAGAATCTGTGGATGTGGGTCAAAGTCAAGATCATCAAACAATGGGCTAAGAAAAATCCAGTGAATCTAGGGATGTGGGCATACTTCAATATCCTTGGCTTCCAATACGGTTTTCCCAGAATGGGTTTAGTGGGAAAGTTTACAGGAAAAGCACGCGTTTGATGGTAAAAACCATGATTTTCCGTGGCTCGGGCCAGGTTTCTGCAACGGAAGATGCCTTCCAAGATTCCTCCGATGAAGAGGTGTTGCAGTCCAGTCTTCGATGGGATGGGTGATTGCTATAAGATTATAGGTACCACTTGAATTGCAACTTGTTCTTTTCCGGTCCCCCAACTTTACCACCATCCAAATAGTGAGATTTCACTATCATGGTTTAGTACTACAGTAAACATTTTTGTCATCATAAGGATAGCTAATTCATACAGAGTCTAACATATTTGGTCTACTACTATAATCCCAACCCCCAAACATGTTTCACACCCCATACATGTTGCCAAAAATGATGTATGTAAATCCCAAACTAAAAACCATGGCTTCTGAGGGGTGTTTTTTTTCCGGATGTGATTACCTGGGACCATCAAAATATTTCACCCCCATAACTTAAGACTAAAGTTTTTTTACATATGTGTGTCACCCTTTTGCTGTCATAATGACATATATATAATTATATATATATAGTAGTTATAATATATTATAACAATACCCTAAGAACAACACGTTGTTTTATTTGACAGAACGACTATACTATTTATGTAACTATATCCTATGTAACATATTAAATATTCATAACTATTATAGTTCTATCACAAAGTGATGTCCCCCATTGTGTTCGTTGCTAACCCCAGTAACTACAGAGTCAACTCAGCTATCGGGCCTCACCTTGTATCTATTCTCTATGGGTTTTTCTCCCCTTAGCTTATTTAGCTTACCCAAACTTTAATAGTTGATCGGGGTTATCACATGTCAATCAATAGTTTGTAACTTAATCGGTGTGCCTTAAACTATATCTATATCTATATGTATATCTATATATGTATATCTATATCTGTATCTTTATCTGTATCATTTGCTATATGTTTTATTACTATACTATATTCATATAGTAAGTATTTGTATCTATTATTATGAGGGGTTTAGGCTCAAAAAGCCAATTTAGAAGCTTTTTCATTTTCCCTGCTCGGGATGGCCCATGTAAAGAAGACGCAGTTGAAAGAGACAAAGACGAAGAAGGAGGAAAAAGATAAGGAAAAAGACGAGGCAGACGAGGATGAAGCAACATTGAGGCAACAAATTACTCCGAGAGCCTTAGACACATGCACTCGAAATACAGCCGACACAAGATGACTGACATGAAAGACGTTGAGGAGATCAAGCAGCATCAGCAAAAGCAGCGAAAACAGCCAGCACATTCAAGAAGAATCTGGAGCAAGAGAGCTACCACGTCGTCGAAGCACCTATACGAGATAACAACAACACCCCAAAAACTGACAAAGGAAATAGATGAGGACCAAAGAGCCAGACAGACATAGTCCAACCGCCAAGTGGAACAAGAGATGAAGGACATGCTCAACAAGATGCACGAGTTGAACGTCGAGATGAAGGCTGAAGCAGAAAAGATTCGCAACATGGGCAGCTCCTCGTCAGAACAGATGGTGCAACAATACGAAGGACTATAGACACAAATCCAGAGGCTCACAGAAATCAGCCAAAGACACGAAGATGAGATTGAGGACTTGACATGTATGACAGACTACACCCAGGAACTCGCGCTAGACGGAGAGAACAAAGACAGTGCCACAAAGATGATGATAAAAGTGTGACCGAAAGAAGCAAGCTGCTATGATAGAACGAGAGTGATGCAATGGCTTTTAGAGAAGGCAGGAGTGCACACAGTGAAGCAGGCGCACGCACACAAGCTCACAAGTACATACTCTCCCCGGTCACCATCCTGACGTTTGCGGACCCAGATGACCAACAAAGCTTCGAAAGATATGCCTACAAGAACTTCTCTAGACGCAACCCGCTCTAACTACTACTGGAAGGAAAATGGTGACTACCTACAGCACTACAAAGGAGGATGGCACCGATTGATCGTGGCAAACTACATCAGCAAAACGGACCTCACCCTCAACCTCACCTTGACCACAGTGCTCCACATATTCACCTCGAATGACGCATCACCATACAATGGACAGGATACACTGTCACACCGACCCGCCGACAAGCAGATCTACAACTTCAAGGAAAAGAAAGTGGTGGCAAAGACTACATATGACAAAGACAGAGGAATTGCCGCGATTGTGCTGCAAAAAGGGCTCATGGACATCGCAAAAGCGAACTGGCATGAAGGATGAAAAGAAACACATAGAGATCACTCACGTTATGCCAAGTATTCGCTCTACCCCTAGGCCCTATGCCATCTCCATCGCAGAAGCTCGACTGGAAGAGGAGAGAGAAGAGATGAGGAACCAAGAGTGACTAAGGTCACGCAAGTGGCAGCAAAAGAGCCAACAAAGAAGGGAACAAAAGACGCAACAGTACACAGAGAGGCAACAAACAAGGCAACAATGCAGGAAACAACACGAAAGAGGAACGAAACAAAACAAAAAGACAAGGGAACCCGAGCAAGCGGAAACAACAAACGCACGCAGCAGCGCACCTTCTAGAAGGTGCCCTGGGAAAGTGCCCGCAGGACTGACGAAACCGACCCAGAGTCTTGCCCAGCGAAGCGTCAACAAAACCCCGTTTTACTTCAACAAAAGGCATACGACTTCTCTCGACTACAGACGTCGTACCAATAGAAGGGCTTGGAGACACTTCAAGAGGACAAGACTCTGGGAAAGAGCCAACCAGGTAGCCAAGAAACACTTCCAAAAATCAACTTTACCCAAAAGACAGTGTCTTAAGAAACTTTCAAAGAAGTACAGTTTCAGAATGTCTAGGAGCTGGTTCAAGGACATTATTACTTGCAGAAAATAGGATTTCGCAAAAAAGAGGCAGCACGAAAACAGGAATTTAATTTGCATACTTGTCTCAGCAAAAAGCTCGCCAGTGTTAATAAATTGAAGCAATACACCCGGATCAGAGGTGCAACGCTAAATGTAAGGGGCTTCAACAAGATTGCCACAAGGCAAGTTGCGACCCAACTAATGAAAGATCAGGGGTATGATATTATGTTACTAACCGAAACCAATGTCAACTGAAATAGTTGGGAAAATGGGACGGTTTTGTTTGCTTTTTTAGTACGGGAGTGGACCCAAAGGTCAGAGAGAGGGAAGAAAAGAAACGCGAGAATAGCGAAACGGCTCCATATAATTTGAACGTTCATTAGTGATGTGCGTTTAGGGCTATCTGATGGGCCCAAAAACGGCGCCAGGAGGCAGCTTACCCCCTGCCTCCTGGCGGTCATTTTGCGGTTGCGGGAAACTCATTTTCTCCAATTCAGGGGTCTTTATGGGGTTGCGGGAAACTTATTTTTTCGTATTCAGGGGTCTTTTTGGGGTTTTGGCCAGGTGTGATTGTCAGCCAGGAAGTGGCACAAAGGATGGGCGGTGAGGCAATCCATGAGTTGTGAAACCTTGTTTTTGCTGTAAAAAAATGTTGAAACTAATAAATGAAATCGACTGACATGGAAGAATTTCCGGAAAAACAATGCATTATTGAGATTTTTTCGTGCCGTGTCAATGATATCAAATTTCCACACGCTGTGGGGCTGATTTTTTTCAAGAATAGAAAGCACCTCTTGACGTTAAATTAAGATATTTGGAAATTTATTAATGGAAGAATTTCCGAAACCATCAATGATGTTCTTTCGTGCCGTGTCAATGATATAAAATTTCCACACGCTGCGGGGCTGATTTTTTTCAAGAATAGAAAGCACCTCTTGACGTTAAATTAAGATATTTGGAAATTTATTAATGGAAGAATTTCCGAAACCATCAATGATGTTCTTTCGTGCCGCGTCAATGATATGCAGTTTCCACACGTTCCTGGGCCGATTTTTTTTTCAAGCATCTCTTGACGTTAAATCAAGATATTTGGATTTTTTGTGGAAAAAATCCGAAACCATCAATGAATTATTGATGTTTTTTCATGCCGTGTCAATGATATGTAATTTCCACACGTTCCTGGGCAGGTTTTTTTCAAGCATCTCTTGACATTAAATTTTAACATATTTGGAAATTATGTTCATGTCCCACCGTTTTTTTTACCCAGGTCAATGCGGGGACGGATTTTTGGCACCATGCCCTCGGGAAGCACTGTCGCTGACCAGCTTGCACGTTCTGCAGGTGCACATGGGGCACTCCGCAATTTGGCCCATGGCGACTCACTCACAAAGAATCTAGGCCGGGCGTGAAAGTTAATGTAAGTATAGCATATTATAGCCGATCCGGCGCTGTAGTCCGGCTGCTGAGACTCGCCAAGCCAGCTGCCTTGAAGAGGGCCCTAGCACCTTTTTCTCAGCGCAGCCTTCTAGCTAGGAAGTCGTGCCTAGCATAACAAGGCGCCAGAAACAAAATATGGTTTGCCATCAAAAAATAAATTCAAGTGTTGAAATCATCAATCAAGCTGCCCTAACCCTTTTCTGCCATGCTCCCGGCTCACTTTCTGGCTATGTAATTTTCCTTGACTCTTTGCGGTGCCGGGACCTCACCGCTGCTCAACTAGATACAAAAGATATAGATGCTTGGACAAAAGTTGGTGCGCCAGGACAACGCTTCCTCGCAGCAAAAAGTGCGCCAGGAGGCGGCTTCCTGGCGCAGAAGCTCTGCCAGGAGCCTCTTCTCGCAGAGGAAGCTCCGCCAGGAGCCTCTTCAGGGCAGCTTACTTGAGAATTGTAGATGCCAAATGCTGCCAGGACCCTTGAGGGCAGGTTGCTGGACGATTCTGCGCACCAACTTTTGTCCAAGCATCTATATCTTTTGTATCTAGTTGAGCAGCGGTGAGGTCCCGGCACCGCAAAGAGTCAAGGAAAATTACATAGCCAGAAAGTGAGCCGGGAGCATGGCAGAAAAGGGTTAGGGCAGCTTGATTGATGATTTCAACACTTGAATTTATTTTTTGATGGCAAACCATATTTTGTTTCTGGCGCCTTGAAATGCTAGGCAAGACTTCCTAGCTAGAATGCTGCGCTGAGAAAAAAGGTGCTAGGGCCCTCTTCAAGGCAGCTGGCTTGGCGAGTCTCAGCAGCCGGACTACAGCGCCGGATCGGCTATAATATGCACTTTCACGCCCGGCCTAGATTCTTTGTGAGTGAGTCGCCATGGGCCAAATTGCGGAGTGCCCCATGCGCACCTGCAGAACGTGCAAGCTGGTCAGCGACAGTGCTTCCCGAGGGCATGGTGCCAAAAATCCGTCCCCGCATTGACCTGGGTAAAAAAACTGTGGGACATGAGCATAATTTCCAAATATGTTAAAATTTAATGTCAAGAGATGCTTGAAAAAAACCTGCCCAGGAACGTGTGGAAATTACATATCATTGACACGGCACGAAAAAACATCAATAATTCATTGATGGTTTCGGATTTTTTTCCATAAAAAATCCAAATATCTTGATTTAACGTCAAGAGATGCTTGAAAAAAAAATCGGCCCAGGAACGTGTGGAAACTGCATATCATTGACGCGGCACGAAAGAACATCATTGATGGTTTCGGAAATTCTTCCATTAATAAATTTCCAAATATCTTAATTCAACGTCAAGAGGTGCTTTCTATTCTTGAAAAAAATCAGCCCCGCAGCGTGTGGAAATTTGATATCATTGACACGGCACGAAAGAACATCATTGATGGTTTCGGAAATTCTTCCAATAATAAATTTCCAAACATCTTAATTTAACGTCAAGAGGTGCTTTCTATTCTTGAAAAAATCAGCCCCACAGCGTGTGGAAATTTGATATCATTGACACGGCACGAAAAAATCTCAATAATGCGTTGTTTTTCCGGAAATTCTTCCATGTCAGTCGATTTCATTTATTAGTTTCAACATTTTTTACAGCAAAAACAAGGTTTCACAACTCATGGGTTGCCTCACCGCCCATCCTTTGTGCCACTTCCTGGCTGACAATCACACCTGGCCAAAACCCCAAAAAGACCCCTGAATACGAAAAAATAAGTTTCCCGCAACCCCATAAAGACACCTGAATTGGAGAAAATGAGTTTCCCGCAACCGCAAAATGACCGCCAGGAGGCAGGGGGTAAGCTGCCTCCTGGCGCCGTTTTTGGGCCCGCCCTATAGCTACCGACGCACGTCACTAAACGTTCATAGAAAAATTACCGGACATGTCCTGATTTTGAGAATGCGTGAGTCGGAATTGTGATACGTAACGATTTACTATCCAGCGCTCTGACCTGCTAACATGTCTGACGGATATGCCTCTTGTACCGCGCCTGCCACGCGAAATGCATCTTTGCAGATCCTCTTCAAACGTCCCACGCCTTCTATCGTTTTTGGAGCTGCTACAAACCTTCATGTTTTGCTCACTTTTTTGGCAAGGTGCGGAATCCGTTGCGCCTGCCACGAAAAACGATGCTTATAAGGCAAATAAACGGAAGGATCATGGTAGCAACTTTTGACTCAGCAGGCTCGCCGCTTACTTTTATAACTGCATATGCGCCCCACAGTGGCTCTGGCACCGAAATTAAGGAGGATTTCTATGAGGACCTATCATTAGAAATTTCGAAGTCCAGAGGTAGATTCTACATTGGAGGGGATTTTAATGCCAGAATCCATCATGTCAGAGATACTGATGTAGATGTATGTGGCCGTAATATCATTGGTAGGGGCATGGAGTATTTAAACATTGTGAATGAGAACTCCAAAGAGAACAGGACCTTTACATTATGAATAGTTGTTCAATAAACCGGAAGAGAAGCTAGTTACCTACAGGGAAAAGATTACGTTGAACCCTAATGAAAGTGAAGCTGGACCATCATATGATGCGATCAAATTTGCCCAGATTTGATTGATTGATTGATTATTGGTTATCCGGGGAATCTTGGAAGAGCGCCGTGTCCGACGTTTCGAGAGTGAATATTTCGGTTTGGAAGCAGTATTAAGATATTAGCGCCACCCCCGACCCCAAAAAGAAGTATTTGAGAAGACCCATAGATATGACAAATCGACACCTTCTCGATGGATTCAATATAGCGAAAACACGAAAACATCAATCAAGTCTTGTCTTGTTGATGAGATAAGATTTGACTTAAAACTTCTACTTGTTGCGTGCATTACAGCAGTCTGCAGAGAAGCATCTTGACCGCACACCGCCAGAAAAGAGAAAGCCTTACTTAACCCGGCAAACTTGGGCAAAAATACAGAAAAGAAACCGCCTTAGATGCAATAAGGCGCCAGAAACAGAAGTGAGGAAATTAAGCAAAGAAATTGCAGAGCTGGCCAAGAGGGACAAGCAGGAATCTTTAATGGAACGGCCTAATGAAATTCCTGTGGACCACAGTAAGAAAGGTTTATGGAAGGCAGTTAGGAGTTTGAAGAAAACCCCCCAATATGTTCGGATGAAAAAAATGGATAACCAGCAAGTCCTTCTGACCAGAAGGGCTGAAACAATTGCGACCTATCTTGAAAAAACCCATGGGACCAACAGTACAAACACGGTTGTCTTGAAGAGCCAATAGTTGCTCAAAATTCGCCAGATGAAACCGGTTTCACTCTTGAGGAACTCAAGGCTGCCTTGAAGGCAGCAAAATACAATAAACAGCCTGGACCAGATGGTGTCACCATGGAACTTTTCAAATGGTTAGATGACGACAACCGGCGGAAGATTCTTGACCTTATCAATCTTTGGTGGATGCATGAAGAAGCGCCGGTAGGTCTGTTCAAGGCTAGAGTGGTTCCGGTTTTTAAGAAGGGTGATGTAGATAATGCAGCTAATTAATAACACGCCAATTTCTTTGTTGAACAGCTGGTAAAAAATATGCATGGTCATGATCCGGTCAAAAATGCGGGCTGCGACTGAACATCTCTTGGCTAAATCCCAATATGGTTTGAGACCCCATAAATCGACTTCACATGCTATTTCCATCTTGCGCCGTATTCAGGACTATGCTGAAATAGAAGGTACCCAGCTCAACATTGCATTTTTCTTAATTGTTTTTTTGACAAAATTCAACATGATAAGTTGTTGGTGGTGCTGAACAGATTGGGATTTAGCCAGAAGTATCTAGGAGTTATATAAGTTATATAATTATAAAAAGACTGCTACAGAAACCCGCTGTGCTATGTCAAAGAGGAGCACGGAATATCGGACGTTAAAGTTCAATCAGCTGGTATTAGGCCAGGATGCCCTTTACCGCCATATTTGTTTGTTTGGGTTATGACATGTATAGATTCCGATATGCAGTCTTCTGTTTCCAGCCACGTTAAGAATTATCGGATTCCAGTCCTTGATTTTGATATGGTGTATTATGCGGACGACACGCTGCTCATGTCCAGAAGTATTAGAGGACTGAATGAACGTCTGCAACTGACAGAGCAGATTTCCTTACAGCACGGTTTGAAATTAAACAAAGACAAGTATATTGCCTGTATTGCTGTACAGATGAACAACAATGGTCGAATCAATTTTTACGATGGAAGTCTGCTCGTTTCAGCATATGAAGATACGTATTTGGGCAATGAAATCAATAAAGAAGTGAATATCAGACATTTATATAATTGTCAACAAAATGTCAGAAGTTCGACGGACCTGGTACAAGTTGACCCCTAATTGGAAAGCGACCAGATCAAGCAAAAAGTGGAAACTTTTTGTGTTTGATGCAATTATTCGAAGTAAACTGCTATAAAAATATGGTCTAGAAGCCTTCCACCTTACACAGAGTTTGGCTAAAAGCCTTCCAAATGAGGGGCTTGGGAAAAATCTTGGGTCGACCGACCACATTCAACAATAGAACCTGCACGAAAAAGGGTGCTCGAAGAGGCAACCTCTTTTGTATATACTGCCCCTGGAGACCAACGCAAAATTCAGCTATTCAATGAATGTCATAATAAAACTTATGGGACACATCCTCGGGACTTCTATAGAAAAAAATATGTCCAAAAAATACCAAAAAATATGTCCAAAAAATATGTCCATGAACATGTATTGAACATCTCTTTTCTGAAATTGATGATGATCACTGACAGTATTTATGCAGCCGCAGTGCAGAGATGCTTTTACCTTCTTGGCTGCGCCCACGCCTTGTGATTAGCTGACTTTTTGAGTCGGAGCAGGGTATGGCAAGGAAAAAAACTATTGTTATGCTACTATATGTTCTTTAAAGATCGAATGCTGCACTAGTCATTCCATATTTTCATATCTGTATTGACCTTTCATTATTCCATATAATAATTAGTCAGCATATAGTTATGATTTATAGCTACCTATATTATTGTATTTCTATTACATTTTACCATTACTTCTATCATCCATTTCTATTTCATATTACTATATCATATTACTATATCATATTATTATATCATCTTCCTATATCATATTACTAAAACTTATTACTATATAATTTTACTACATCATGCCACTAGCTGGGAAAATCATCTAGAAATGGACAATTTTCCATAGCTATGTCTGACAACCAGAAGCTATTCATCATAATCAAACCCATTGCTACTATTATCCATTACATGCTAGTACCATAATAGGATATAGTTGTTACTAATCATATATCTATACTACTTGCTGTTACTATATCATACGATTAAAACTATATAATGTGGGTAAAACAATGATAAGCCACCCATTTGAGAATGGTTTATACCCCTTTTTTTGGTGAAATTGGAGGTGGTTTAATCTTGTTTTACCCACATTGCATGATTATTTGTGGTAACAAAGATGTTGTAGGCGAGGTGCTATCTCAATGGCCAGCCCTTGGGGTGAAAAAATCCTCGCTGAGAGAGTTGATAGGCTGTTGATTTGGTTATAAGTGGTTAATAAGTGCAAAAAAACAATGTTAAAACTATATAATGTCAACTGCGGATTAACAAACCATGGTTTATTCATTGTGGGGGTACCCTCCAAATAGTTATGATTCACAATTGGTACCCCCCAATTAAAAGACAGCCGTTTGGGGCTTGTTAATCCAGGGTTGACATTAGATTATCATCTAAAGCCCCCAAAAACTGTCGCCAGGCCCTGAAGGCCGAACAGGCTGCCCAATCCGCCGCCGCCCAATCCGCGGCGCCGCCACCGCGGCCCGCGGGGCCGCAACTGACGCAGGCGAGAAGTAAGTGGGCCCGGGAAAGGGGTGGGAAATGCGGGGGAAATGAGGGAAACATATATTTACATGGAACATATATGGAACATATATGGACAAAATGTGGGGAGAATAATGGAAACATATTAGGAAACATGGAAAATATAGGAGGCATAATTGGAACATATGGAATTCAATGGGATTTTACTTGAGGATTTCACCGTCTAACATGGGGATGTACAAGGGATATAATGGGTATACTGTATAATCGATTATGATCTGGAAAAAAATGAGATTTTGTGACGCAATGGGGATTGACCATGATTTATCTTGGAAGACAGTGAGATTTGACCAGCAATTCCAGAATTCAAATATATTCACAAATGTTGATTTCGTCGGGACAAAATGGGATTTGAGCAGAACACACACATACATATATATATATATATATTCATCAAACAACCAGAGTAATCAAATGTAGCAAATGTCATTTAATCACCAAACCATTGGGATTTCACTGGGTAAACCATGCGATGAAAATGGTAGGAAAGGATGTCATTGTCAGCCGTTCGCAAGAATCGGAATAATTATTCGATGCGTGGGTTTGTCGTTTCATAACTTTCCCCCTGTTGAAACAACAATTTTGGGCACCCCATTGTCAGACGCACCCATACAGTTGAAAATCAAATGATGATGCAAGGAAACATCCTAATCAGGACGGGGATCAGAGGGGGGATGCGCATGAAAACATCCTAATCATGGTGGGATAGCCATACCCCATATACATCCATATACCATGTAACTTGGCTATGGCATGGGTTTGTCTGAAAAATTGGATACCCCTGAAAATCGCAAGTTTAGTAGGACAATATTTAAACCAGATTATGAACCAATGGATTTTGGGGTAGCCCATGGTTTGACAATTTCATATTCTCTATAGAGGTTCCATGTGCATCAGCCAAAGTTGATGCTGTTCCTTCCGGAACCGCCTTTTTGTTTCTACAAACGGTTTTGAGAATCTTCGCACACATTATCATGAAATATTATGAAATATTATGGTCGATATCATTATTGCAGGATCAGGCTTTGGGATGTTTATCTTCCCTCCGGTCATGTTCAAAGGGTAAACAGCATCGGCAATTATATTTCGGGGATTTTGAGGCAACACACGGCGCCGTGTTTATCTACTGTACCGGAAGGTAAAAAAAATCAAAAAAACAGTGCCATGTTTCCAGTTGACCAATCCACGGTGCCATTGCGGTTTTCATCTCAGCCTTGGAGTTGCCACTGGCATGGTGAATGATCGCGCGCGAATGTTTGAAAAACTCGGTAGTTTGGTCTATACATGTTCTTTTTTATGAATATTATTCACATTATTGCGTATAGAGTATGTTCCATATATTTACATATGGTGATCGATCTAAAGGTCCTTGTAAAGAGTTTTAATTGCGAAGACCGTTCATGTTATGTTGGGAACCTTCGCAAAGTTTTTTTTGAGTGCCCGAAAGTATCGCGAAAGTTGGATATTATATGTAAAGGGCTGCCACCCACTGCCGCCTGGGGTCCGGCAGGAGAAGGGCACCGGAGAATTTCGGTTTGGTTCTGGTTCAGTTCCCTGTGTGGTGGTGCTCTTGGACAATAACTTTGCCCTTCATCAGTAGCAGCCGAGCTTCCAAAGGTGAGGCTTCGCGACAGCCAAACACCATGGTCCTGAAGCGCATCCTTGCACCTGCTGCTGCCACTGCCTAATGATGATTTTTGAAATCTCAAGAAACAATCTTTGCGAGAGCCAAACACCAAGGCCCCTGGTGTTCGCTTTTTCCTTCAATGCGCCCCCTGCTGATGGCCGGGGTCTGTCAATAGGGATATTTTCGCGAAAGTTCTGCGAAGGAGCGGGCGAAAGTCAAAGTGCATGTTGGAAGGGGTGGGTCAGTAAACATTGCACAAAAAAAACTAGTCAGCAACAATCTGTCCTGAGAAGGGATTCCGTGATGCTAGCTGCATGTTTAAAAATGCTATCAAGAAGTGATCCGTGATTCTCTGGTGTAATTTGCCAGGTGGTGAACGAATCTTCATAAGAGACGTTGTTGCCCAACATGGGTCCCACGACAGATAAACGTGGAGTTCGCAAAAGTTTCGCGAAAGTAACATTTTTATTCGCGAAGAATGGCCATTTGTGGATAATCATGAATATAAATATATAAATATATATATATATGTAAACATATATCATACTAGCATACATATACATATATGCATATATACACATATATATATACATACATACATACATACATATACATATACATATGTACATACACACATATATATATATACATAAATATTTTTAAAAATATACGCATATATTAACATATATTCATATATATATATATAAATTTATATATATGTACACATAAAGATATATTTTTTTAATATATACACATATATAAACATATATTCATCTATATATATATATATTCATTTATATATATATATTCATATATATATATATACATATACATATATATATATATATATAATTTTGTACATATATTTACACACACATATATATATATATATATACAATAATATTTACATACATAATATACAATTATATATATGTAAATACACATCTATGTATACACCATATATATATATACATATATATATATACACATAGTTTATACCTATATACATACATATATTAGGTGTGTTTAAATATGACAAATATTTACATACATAATATATATATATGTATATACGTATACATATATACTTATATATTATACAGTACATTCTATCAATATATTTCTTGATGCCGCCCTTTCAGCGTCTTGGCTCTGCCAATAAAAGGTCAGATAGATCTCTCCTTCCTTTGGCATGATGAGCCTGCTGCGTTGCCGTGCTGTTTGCCGAACGGCCTCCCTGGGTCTCCGCGGATTCTCAGGTGGTCCATCAGCAGAGGCCATTGCGGCCATTCAAGCGAACTTCAAGAAGAATCCCGCCCAGGCCAGGAATTTTCCGTCAATCCTGAACAGTCATCAACGGTTGAGGAACACAAAGGGAGGCTCCCCCGAGTGAAAACTAGCTGCAAAGTACCACCCCAATGAAACAGTTCAGGGGGTTATTCATCCGGAGTTGACATTAATGGGCGCAGCTCAACCGGCAACGATGTTTACAGTAAGCCTTTGATACTACGTATCTGATCCATCTGAGGCTATGGCCATGCTGCTGGGTGTTGTTTTGTACTCTCATTGTTGGACCAACCGACCCTAAGTAATGGGTTTATTCACCAATATCAGGGGGAGTTGACCATGTCTGACCTAACCTGCAAACACATGGGGGAAAATCAAGTTTTCCAAGATCTGGATTCCTGGTTTCCTGTTGTTTGGTTGTCAAAATGGGTTGCACCGTTTGGTTTCTCAGGTATGTTTTGTCAACCAAAATGGGAATACCAAAATACCTATTAACCAGCCAAGTGGTGTTGTTGAAGTTCAAGATGTCTCCACAAAAAACATTTCATCATATTTCCTCACCTTTGCCACATCCTCAAGTCGTCCCCATGATGATCCCTTAGCATTTTTCACACCACTTTCCCTGTGCCAACTATCCAAACATTTGCAGCAACATCTTCGACCCATCTGGTTGCATCCCGAAATCTGGTTGCGCAGCTCTCAACGAAACGGTTAGATCCGATGAACGATGATGCTTAGATGATTAGATGCTAAGTAGATGATGTTTGCTTATTTGGTGGTTAGATGATTAGATGATGGTTTTTCATGGTTTTTCATGACGATTGCATCCAAAAAACTAAAAAGAACTCTATGGACTCCATGGACTCCATGGCTGGCCCAGGCCCAAGCGAGCTTCAGCTCCAGCTCCGAACTCATGGAGGGCCTGGTGAGCAACGGCCAGCTGCGCAACTTCCCAATCAAGGCGGATGAGCCGGAGAGCTTCGGGGGCAAGGACTCGGCACCAAATCCCGTGGCATGGCATGGACCATGGGAAGATGATGGGGAAGATGATCCGAACTGGGACATACTGGGAGTCTAAAACGCAACGAAAGTTGGGAAAGTCGGGAAGGTATGAAGTAATTTCCATGTTTTGTTATGTTTTGTTTAGTCCTTGGCCCAAATCCCTTTCAGCCGGTAGGACTAAGACTGCTGAAAATTTGGGGAGTGAACCCAATGTCCGAGTCTTTTTGGATGACACCCCCAACCCATGGGGCGCTGTTCTCTGGTGTGGTTCGTACCTCGAACATCATTGACCAGTCCATGATTCATGCCACCATTGTGGGGACATCTCGCCAGTGTCTTATTGCTGCGCCTCTGCAAGCGGATGCGGTGTACACACTCTATGGCTACCAGCTCCTTGATGTGGATCTGCAGATTCTTGGCCCTGTGCGGGCCTCTCATGCGATTCTTGCTGCTCCTTGTGATGCATTGAGTGTCATGCGGGTTGTGGAAGTGTGTGCCGGAATTGGAGGCATTGGAGTTGGCGCTGAACATGCCAACTTTGAAACTCATGGTTTCCTGGACAAAAATTCTCTGGCTGTCCATATGTTGCGATTGATGGGACGTCGTAATGTACACCAGGGAGATCTGACCAATGATGAGCACATTCGTGATTTGCATTTGTCTCTGCAGGACCCTGTTCATGTGATGACTTCAGGTTTCAATTTTCGACCTTCTAGTTATCAGGGAGACCAGGCTGGACTTGCTGATGTACAAACATCCTCATTTTGGGGGACTTTGCGAGCTCACTATTTGCTCCAGACCAAGATCCTTGTCTTGGAATGCACCCCAGGAGCTGGCCGAGATAGTGGATTGCAGCGTGCGCTCAAGGACTTTGCGGACCGTCTTGGATTTCAGATGCATCAGCTTTTTTTCAACCTTGCCAACCAGTGGCCAGCACAACGAATGCGCTGGTGGGCCATCTTGTATCCTGATTCTTGGCCAGTGATGACTCTTCCTGACTGGGTTGTTCCAGGTGATTCCATGGCGATTTGCAATGTGATTCCGACGTGGCCTCAATGGTCGGATGTTGATCTTCAGCAACTGTACCTGACTGAGCATGAACTCCAATGTTATCTGCGAGATTTCCCAGATTCTCAGCGTTTCTTGAACATGTCAGGTCTTGCTCCAGTGTTTTTGCACAGCTATGGCAATGCCACAGGACCGTGCCCTTGTCTTTGTCGCGTGACTGGCTTCAGTCCAGAAAGACTACAACTACTTGGGCTGCGTGGTGCCTTGCTTTCCACCGACGCTGGATTTCGCTTTCTTCATCCACAGGAGGTTTGTCTTCTGATGGGTTGGCCTGCGGACCTTGCTTTGGGCACAGACCTCCGAGCAGCTCTTTGTTTGCTTGGCAACCTGGCGTCACCTCTGCAGAGCTTGTGGATTTTTGGACACCTGCGGCAGATTCTTGGACAGCTTTGGCCGCAGGATGTTGTGGCCCCAATTGAAGCCTTGAATCAGTATAAGGAACGCCTTTTGTTCTTGCGGCATCACTTTTGGCCATCTTTGAGCTCCAGGGCATCTTTGGCCTTGCGCCTGCATACTTCTGATGGGGTTGACCTTCTCATTCAGAAAGATTGTTATCAGCGTGTGAAAGACCTTCTTTCTGCTGAGCGCATCAATTTGGGTCGAGGACAGCAAGTTCTCCTCCTTGATGGTGGTCATTTGGTGCCTGATGAAGCCTTCTTGCATGAGCGAGGTTTCCATGGAATTTGCACTTTGGTCCGCATTGCTGCTGCGTCGGAGTTTCTTCCAGCACGTGGTTTGATTGCTTGTGTGATCACCCATCAAGGTCATGAACATCTTCAGTTCTTGCCTCTTGGAACTTTGCTTTGCGACGCTTTGGTGGGATGTGATTTGCCAGCTCAAACACCTCTTGGGGATGCTTTTGGCCGCATTTGGCCCAGCGATGCACGTTTGTGGCACAGTGTTGAGCTCTTTGGATTTTCTTCATTTGGAGCGGGACCTTCAAGTGATGATGGACTCACCTTGGACTTTATCACCTGGGTCCTTGGCATGGCAGAAGATATGCATTTGAGGGCAGTGGATATGCGAATTCATCTTCATGTTGCCCAATGGGAGTCTGATTGCCTGGACTTCACCTACTCTTCACCTGGAGCGGGACTCTTGCAACATTGGAAGATCGGTGAGCCTCACTTTGTTTGTCTTCTTGCCAACCATCACTGGTGGCTCATGGCTTGCGAGCTTTCAGATGGTGCGTTCACCATCGATTTCATTGATGGATTTTCACGTTTGGGTGAGCCCTTGGTGCACCAAGAGATCATTTGTTGGTTGCAACACCAGCTGCGATGCACGTGCTCCGCTACCAGATTCTACAAAGGCATCACCCAGTCGCTTCATGGTTCATGTGGCACTTTGATGTTGCTCCACCTGGGGATGGTGCTTGGACTTGTCGCCCCCCAGGTGGATGATGATTTGGAAGCGTACCATGTTAGTCTTCAGCAGCTTGCCAGAGCTCTGGGCCTTCATTATGGATTTCCGGGTTTTGGATTTCAACCCTCTGAGGCCCAAATTACCTTGCGACTTTCACAGCTCTTGGTTGAGAAGGGGGTCCCTTCTGCCCGTGCGGAAGAACGCGCGGTTATGGGCATGAAGAAAGTTGGTGCCACTGAAATTCAGCAAGCCTTAGACAGTGCCAACCCGTGGATGTATCTCAAAGCTATTGGTTCGAGACCCCATGTGTCCTTTCAGTGGTTGAAAGCTGATGAACTCCAAAGCAAGATCCGCTCCAAAGCTGCCTCCAAATTTGCTATTCAGCCTTCGGAGAAACGCAAAAAGAAGATTGCCAAATTTGGACCTGAAGAACCACTTTTTGTGGATCCTGCTCAACTACAACTTGTGCCAAAGACTTTCTTTGCGAAAGGCCTTGACATGCCGCAGATAGCTTTTGCTGATGTATGCCCTCAAGCTCATGGGCTCGCATTTGCCACAGTGGCAGACCTTGCACCTTTCCTGCAGGCCGGAGTTGTCATTAGTGACGGACCTTTGGGCATTTTGACCACGACACCCATTGCCCTGGATCAAACTGGCTCCTTGCATGTTCGAGCCCTTCGTTTTCCAGCGCTGTGCAAGCTTACACAAGAGCCTGTGCTTGTTCAGGGTAGTCTGGTGACATTGGGTGCTGTCCCCATTGACCGGGGTGATGATTCAGTTCAGTGCGCTTTGGATACCATCCCCACACAGACCCTGAGACTGACTGTCTTCAAGGACCAGTTTGGTGATGAGTGGTCCCGATTTCTTGAACAGCCAATGCGCACCCTCCTCCACAAAGTTCCAATGCTTTCTTTGTGCAAGCAAAATGCCTGTGGGGTCGATTGTGGCCGTTATCATGCCGTCCTGGACGAGCCGTTGGACAATCTGATCATGGATCTTTGGGGCCGAAGTTGGCATCGAGCTGATGGCAAATTCACCAAGCCTGCTGATGCCGTGATGTGGTCTTGTTTGATCCGCGTCCCAGCTTCTTCAACTCGAACACTTCAGGCACTCTCAGGACACAGTGGACTCTATGTCGAGCCGAGATCAGACAGCGGCAAAGAGGTTGATCCCAAGTATGGCATTATTTGGCTTGGCAATGTGAACGTTCAGGATGCCCATCATAAACTCAAAACCACTCCAAATGCCTTGGCCTTGGGACGCGTTCAGTTCAAGTATGGCCTGCGCTTTCAGGCGATGCACATGGAAGCAGCTCACAATTTGTTGAAGCCTGATGAGCAATTCACTGGCACAGCTGTCCAAGAGATTTACAAGCTCTATCCCATTCCATGGGGCACTCAGCGAGCTGCTCTTCAAAAATGTCTTACGGATTGGGGTTGGGCTGCGAAAGTTCTTCAAACAGCTGGAGGAGGTGTTGAAGGATCATATTGGGAAGTTGGAGCCTCAAAGCCGCCACCATCCTATGTGCTCCAGAATCCAACAGGAGACATTGTGGTGACGCATGTGCGTTCTGCCGTCAAAGACCCCAAGCCGGTCAATGTTGTGGCATCTGCAGCCACCAAACGGCACCTTGCACATGGTGCTGCCCCCATGACTGTGAAAGGCGATCCCTGGCATCAAGGGGCTGATCCTTGGCTGGGTCCTTCCAGTTCAGTTCCTGCACAGGATCCCGCAGCAGCATCACGCATCCAGCAGATTGAAGACCGTCTTCAAGCAAACCTGCAGGACTCCATCCGTAAGGAGATTGGTCAACTTCCTCAGCAAATGGATGGTCAAGATGATGACTTCAAGGAACAGACTCAAGCCAGATTTACTCGGCTTGAAGCAGGGCTGACTGAGCTGCAGGCTCAGCATGTGAAGTATGAAGGATGGTTCGCTCAGATGCATCAAACTGATCAATTCCTGTCGGCCCAAGTTGAGCAGACGAACCAGCGCCTGGATCAGGTTAATCAGAACATGAACATTCAGGTTGCGTCCCTCCATGAAAATGTGAGCCAAGTTCGCAATGAGGTCAACCAAGGTTTTGCGAACCTTGAGGCAATGTTGAACAAACGTGGAAAGACCTCGTGACTACGGCAGACCGGGCTCAGCTTTTGTTGGGTGCCGGCCAAGTGGATACAATGGTGGATTCTTATTTGCAGTTTGCTTTCACTGTGTGCAGCTGACCCGTTCCAGAACAGCTGTCTTAGTCCTAATGACCTTTGCCAAGAACACTTGAGCCTTTGCCATTTCGGTTTTTTTTCCTCAAAGACACCTTCGTGTCAAGCTGTGGATCTTGCCCGGTTCTACCAGCTCAGCACGGCTCATCCTGTATGGGACCGTGAATGTGGGTCGGATCCTGAACAGCACCAACATCTTGCGAGCGCCGATGCTTGGGTGTGGCCGGCCTTGCGAAATCCATGTTCTAAAGAACAACTTTTGGGCGGCAATCCAGTACGTGCCCTTTCCAAATGGTATCCTTGTGGTGAAGCTATGAACCCTGGGCCTCCACTGTGCATATCGTTTGGCAATCCC